CCTGGCAAATAGAAGGGGTAGAAATGGAAGCAGTAACAGACTTTATTTATTTGGGCTCCAAAATCACTGCAGATGGAGACTACAGCCATGAAATTAAAAGACGCTTGTTCCTTGGGAGGAAAGCTATGGCAAACCTAGGAAGCTTATTAAAAAGCAGAGACATCACTTTGCCAACAAAGATCTGCATAATCAAAGCTATGGCTTTTCCAGTAGCAATGTATGGCTCTGAGAGCTGGACCATAAGGAAGGCTGAGCGCTGAAGAATTGATGCCTTTCAATTGTGGTGCTGGAGAAGACTCTTAGGAGTCCATTGGACTGCTAGAAGGTCAAACCAGTCAATCCTAAAGGAAATGAACCCTGACTGCTCATTGGAAGGATTGATACTGAGGCTCAAGCTCAGATACTTTGGCCACCTAACACGAAGAGAGGACTCTTTGGAAAAGACCCTGATGCGGGGAAAGACTGAAGGCAAAAGGAGAAGGGAATGGCAGAGGATGAGATGGTTAGATAGCATCACTGAAGCAATGAGTATGAAACTGAGCAAACTCTGGGAGATAGTGAAGGACAGGAAGGCCTCGCGTGATATGGTTCATGGGGTCATGAAGAGTTGAACATGACTTAATGACTGAACACCACCACCAAAAAACCCCTATATGAAAGATAGGGCATAGAGCTTTAGATAGGGCATAAAGATAGGGCATAGAGCTTAACAAACTGCATTTGTTAAGGGTCTAATGAGTTAACCATGTTTAGATCAGTTTAGTACTAGCTTTTATTAATATGTTTAAATGCACTAACACTGAAAGACTGTTCTCAAAAGTGAACCTTATAAGCCTGCAAATCTAATGTATCAATCACATATTCAACAAGTTATATTTAATCCTGTCCTCTCTGTTTTACTGAAGCATGGCAGTGCAATTTTTGGAAAGAAATAGAGGTCTTTACAGTACTGTTAAAACAGCCTCAAACATTCACAAGTCAATGTTTTATTATGCCTCTGACTCTAAGCCCCCAAGGCTAAACCTCACTTAACATCTTCAGTGTAATTAATCAGTTTTTGTTGAACTTGGCCAGATGGCAAAAGATTGATACTTTTTTTTGGATACCTGTGCTGTTTCAAATTTGCAGGATTTAAACAAAGAATATTAATGAAAGATATACAACAGATGGAGAGGACAATGAATTTCTTAATATACAGGTAGTTATTCAACCAATCAGCAGCTCCAAAGCTAAATTTTAAAAGTGTGTAAATAGTAAATTAATCAGGAGTGAATAACCCAAGGCCATATATATTTTCTGAAAACCTTTGATGCCTCCAGAGCTCAATGCAATGCTCAATGTGACAGAAAAAGGAAACTTAGTACATATCTAGTAAGCAATTTAATTCAATTAATCAATCATTTTAAGGCTTGGCATAATATATCTACTCTTCCATTTTGCAACACCAGAGTGATGACTTACCTTTTCATTTTTCCTTTCTTCTGTTTTGCAAGCTGTGTTGGTTGGGCTACAAGTCACCAAGCTACTGATGGGCCCATTTCCAGCTTCTCCATTCAGATTGACTGCAGTGACGTTGGGAGGAGTAATTGCTGCTGCTGCTGAAGTGAGAGGAATAACAGGTCTGGCGCATTGTGCTCCAGGGATGACATGCACAGGAGAGTGATGGACATGCTGTGGAGAAACCACTGAGTGTGACCTGATCACAGTTGCTGGGAGGCGAGACGGAGAATTCTGAGTTCTCAGAGGTGAGACTGTGGCTGTGGGGCGATCCTGTGCCTGCACAGAATTGTGCACAACTGAAAAGGGGAGTAGAGAAAAGGAGGAAAAAAAATTGATTTCAGGAATATTGTCTGGAGATGGAGATATAATAGGCGATTTTGAACACCTCAAACTGCTAAGGTTCAGACTGAAACTCTGAGTGTAGCTCATCTACAATACAATATATCCATTATGCAGAAACAGCAACACAGTGGAAGCAGTAATTTAAAATGCGAGAGCTTACAATTTTCATCTTATATCTTGATTTGCAATATGTAAAAACACTGCATCCACACTCAGTTCAGAAATAAATGCAATCCAAGTAAATATACTCAGAATCAGGTTGAACTAGATTTCTGTAGGATATTTTTTAATAAAAGTAATAAAGAATACTTTAACTGGAAACCACAAAATTTCTTACCTACATATAAATTCAGGAAGCTGCCTTATTTACCCACCTAACCAGCACTATCTGTTCTGACAGATGATAGACGAAGGAATCCAGAATACTGTGAACAATTTGAATTATTTGTGGGGAAAGTCAGTCCAATTCATTTTGACTTGGACTTCAGAGTTGGGGCAGATCATAGAGGTGTTACATCAGCCATTATCTGTTCTTCTATTTTGACTTTTTAGCTGTTTAGATTTCAAGGATATGGACAAGGTTCAGAGAGATGAGGACTACCATCTGTTTATTCAACCCTAGCCTCTCCTCTAAATCAGCTAAAACAAGAGTGGCCAAGAGATGTGATCAATGCCTCCTTAGAAAAGGGATGTGTTTCCTCCTCTCTCAAGAAAGCAGTCATAAAGAAATATTGAAGAAACCCTCTCTCCTTTGACCTGAGAGACCTATGCAATTAGAGACCAACTCAAATGTATAATTTCTGGGAATGGTTATCAGAAACATGTTGGCCTTGCAATTCTGTGTAGTACTAGGTTATGGTACTAAAACTACTTTTGGTTGCCTTGGTGGAAAATATATGCTGGAAACTGGGATGAGGGAGTAAGCCTTGCTAGTTCTCCTAGAACTATGTCTCAGTGGCTTTTGATATTATCAACCATGATATCCTTCTGGACTCCCTGAGGAGACTAAGCCTTGGGGGTATCATTTTACAGTCGTTCTGAATCTTCCTGTCAGGTTGGGTCCAGAAGGTGATATTGGGGGAGCATGATTTGACACCTAATTGACTTATCATGTTCCATAGGACCATTTTGTTTTGTCTCCCATGCTATTCACGTAGAGAGTAAGGAAGATGACCTTGACAGAGGTAGGCGAGATTCATTACCAAATCAACAAGGGAAAAAGCATATCTTCAGTCCAAAACAAGCACAAAGTATGCAGAAGTGGTTCAAACAGACAACTCCCTAATTCACACGGTTATAAGAAGGGGAGGAGGTTCAGCACAATCAGACTTGCAAGATTCTATTATTATAGCCACTCTCAATAAAAGTAGTCTTAGCTATCCCATGGAGTTGATTCCTGATCGGATCTACCTGGTAGGGCTAACAGTTCAATATTTACACAAAACTACTGGGAGAGGTTATCTGGAATTTTGGAGTGGGTTGTCATCAGTACACTGGCTGTATGCTGATGTCACCTAATTCTATACTTCTTACTACCCAATTACCTAACTACCAAGGTAGCAGTTGATATCTACTATGTAAGTTTGATAGTGGGCTAAATGAAGGAAAACAAACTGAAATTAAATTGAAACAAGATAAGGTGCTATTGGGAAACAGGGAACTGATCTCAGAGACTAAGTTTCAGACTGTTTTGGAAAGGGTTGCACTGTCCTTGAAAGAACAGATTTGCAGCCTGAGAACATTCCTTGAATCTCAGCTGCCATTGGTGGCATCTTTGATGAGGAATGCACATAACCATTCCTGAGCCAGATGAATTTGGCAAGGCTTATTAGCCTGGATATCTTGAGTACTGTAGCATGTTCTACGTAGGGTTATTCTTAGTAAATGTCTGGAAGTTGCAGTTGGAGAAAATATAGCAGAGTAAATGGAAATTGGAATTGTATGATGTTGCCTGTACTGAAACATCTGCACATCTGCTGCCAGTTGCTGACTAGGCACAATTGAAGATGTTAGTATTGACTTTTAAACTATAATTGGTTTAGTGCCCAACCATCTACAGGACCACATCTTCCATCATGGCCTTGTCTGGTGGTTAACATATGTCGGAAAGGCCCTCTGTTGTCTTTTTGTCATATGGAGAAGAGCTTTGTCCTTGGGCCAACTCTCTCAATGTTTAGGAAATCTGTAACAATACATTACTTTCAGTAGGGTTTTAATTGTTAGTTAATTTTACTATATATATATTTAACATTAATTTTAATTTGTATTTTCAAGTGTTGATATTCTGTTTTTGTTTTTAAATTGTTACTTGCTTTCAGTGCTTGCCGGAGCAGAATTATCATTAAATCAATTAATACAATAAATAACTATTTTCTCTCTTTCCTGAACGTCTAGCAGAACCTACATGCAGAGTATAGCCATTTAAAAATAAGACTTTTGTAATGAATTAATTTTCTTGAAAATGTGGGATAACAAGCCACTTAATCTGTGACTTGAAACAGTCATATAAAACTCAATTCTGTTCTGTTGCACTTTTGATCAGAGGCTGAGTGTTTTTTCTTAATGTGTTTAGGACAAATTAGTATTGTATGTTAGGAAAGTAACCTGGTGACCATCAGAAAGCATTTCTGAAATGGTTCTGAAAAGCCACTGGAATATATAATTAACTTTTATTTATTACACATTATAGCCAAAGTATAAAAGCTAAAAACTACCACAATGTAAAAACTGAATACATATGCATGCGTAAAATTCTTTGAATAAAGAATACCATGTGGGAAAAAAGTCCTTTACAGAATGTATACACTCCATTTTTTTTAAGGAAATTGTATTTCAAGCCTTTGTAAGTATCACTTGTATTTGCACTGCACAATAAACATCTTTCATATTTTAAACCTAATAGACCGTTTTAAAACATTAAAGCCACGTACGACCTGTTAAGTGGACTTACAATATTTACTTCTTAACATACAGGATGTTTTATGCTCCCCAAATGAATTAGTGTCACATCTGTAAGCGCTATAATGGGACTTCCGTTGTGGGTATAGAATAGCAAAATAACCATAATATGGTTCTTGAAATCAATAAATACGACCTTAAACACTGCAGGCAAAAAACAAAACCTCTAATCCTTATTACTGATTAAGTTTTAAACAGAGCCAAGGATTTGCTGAGGAACCCTACAGAGACAAAAGGGTTCCAGAGGCTCCTGTCTCTGATATGAGTTCTAGAAGACAGGGTGCCTGCACATAATACCTACCTATTTGCACAGAACTGCGAGGCTGGGCAACGGTGTGCTGAGAAGAGTACCTCATGCAGTTATTCATCTGTGGGGAGCCTGCTGGCAGCTGGGTCTGAGAGGGAGGGGTTGTGATTGGAACCGCTGGTCTGGCCACAGGAGCAGAACTGGTAAGAGCTGAGCCTCCTGGCTGAGCATCTCGAGGGGAGCCTTTTGCTGTTGGAGAACCTCCTGTTAAATTCCGGGGCTGGTTAGTTGCTGCAGGGACCCTGGGAAAAAAGGGAAGTCCAACCAAAATGCTCTATGCAAGAAGTCAAAGGAAACATTACTGAAACCAATGTTTCCTCATGTGACTAGATCTCTCCTATGCCATTATTTGGTACAGCATCTCTTGAGATTTTTATCGTGTGCCTACCAAATAAAATAAAAGACAAGCTTTTTCAGTAGCTGCTAGATAGAACAGCCTATTAATTCAGTCTCATCTGATTATTTGTTTACTTAATACATGATTTTTTTTTGGCCAACGCTGATATTTTAATTAAAGAATACTTAGTTAAAACTTTTTCAGGTCTAATTTACTAACTCAGCTTATTTTTCTGCAAAAAGGTAGTGCTCTCTCTATACATATAGTTATTATGAGATAGATGGAAAGAGGGAGAGATCTATATGACAAATATATTTTCCACAGTGAATGAACTGTGAGAAAGTAGCCACAGAAGCAATATGTAATACAAAATATGCAAACTTGCTTAGAGCTCTTTTATAGAGAAATAAAAAGTTGGTCAGAAATCCTTAATTCTGGTGTTGAGAAGAAATGTAGGCTGTACTAGTACTTGCATAAAAAACTCTATTTAATCTGTTTTAAAGAAAACATGAGCTACACAGAAAGGAGGAAGCAGAAACTATGGACATTTCAGTTGGTCACTGAATCATATACATCATCTAACTATTTTGGGGCTATTGCTGCCACGTGCAGCAGCTGAGATCTTTCCCAGCCTAGCTATGAGCAACCTCTGTATCTAGACCACAGGCCTGAGAGCACGGACAGGAGAAACACGTGCGACATCGTGGAGATATAGTGTGAGGTCAGACACAATCCCTCAGCATCACAAACTGTTCTTAAAACCCATTGGTGAGGATACTATGATAAAAATCTTATGGAATTGAAAAGTACTTCTATATTAAAAATTAAAAAAAGAAAAAGGAACACCTGAAGTGTAACTGAGGGAAGATACATTTTGGGATTTATTTCCTTCCTTTGGGAAGTGATGATATCAAATTGCTAAACCTCCCACTGCTTCTCACCTGGAAACAGGAGTAACGTAATTGCCTGGAAAGACTCCGCACATGCCATTTCTCAAGGATGTCCCTTTGAACCAGCCATCCTGACACTTCTCGATAACACGATACATTTCACCCTTACGTAGCTCTAGTTCATCTGTCTTCTGGGGTTTGTATGCATATAATGCCAAATAACTGTCAAAAATGAAAAAGATATTAATGGTGAAAGGTTAAAGCTGAAAACGCACATAGCAACTAAACCATATTTTGTTTTAACACAAAACACCTGTTATTGCCAAATTTATTTATTCAGTGAGGAACAACTGCAAGGATGAACCAGCAAAAGAATATAGGAAAAAAGAAGGGAAAACTCCATCGGGATAGTTAGAAACAATCTTTGACACACTGACAGAACTGGAACTTTAATTAGAACTTTTTCTACAGGTTTCAACAATAGGACAGCTACACAACTAACTTTAGCTATCAAATGAAAAGCAAATCATGGCGATGAAAATGATGCAATAAGAAATTCCACAAAATGTATTTTTAGGATATTTTGCACTTCAAAATAGGCAGCTGAACTAAGGGACTATTGAAAGTAATATTTCTAAAATTACTAGAAATAATTTTAAAAACCATAATTCTTAATTTTCCTTATTATTATACATACCAGAGGGAAAATCCTTGAAAATCAGGATGGGTGGGATATTCTGTTCTGGGACACTGGTAGTTGTAGCTGAGGGAAAACAGGGAAGGGAAGGGAAGGGAAGGGAAGGGAAGGGAAGGGAAGGGAAGGGAAGGGACTTAAAAGACTGGGCACAGGTAGGCTGATGGGATATGTTGTGCTTGGACATCACTGGCTGGTACACTGGCCATGGAGAGGAACAGGGATGACATGTAACAGCTTTGCCTTCTTTGCCCCATACAATCACTCTAGGATTCCTCCAGATTTTTATTTCAGGAAAAACTCAGAACAATCAATGCTTCAGCAGAATCCCAGAACAATCAAAATTCTGCCAGAACACAGCCAATCCAAAACGGTTGGCAGAACCTCTGGGACATGATGGTTTGTTTCAAGCTCAAAACAAAATATATATTCTGTTTTGTGCCTAATAGTTATACTAAATAAAACTATACTATATAAAACTAAATGGCTAAATTACATGTGATTTTTTTGTAATTACTGGAAGGAGTAAAAGTAGGAGATCTACCACATAGGTTTGTTTCAAGCTCAAAACAAAATATATATTCTGTTTTGTGCCTAATAGTTATACTAAATAAAACTATACTATATAAAACTAAATGGCTAAATTACATGTGATTTTTTTGTAATTACTGGAAGGAGTAAAAGTAGGAGATCTACCACATAGCTGACGAAAAAAGAAATACTGAACTTCATAATTCAGTGTGACTTCAGACTGCAATCAATACTTGTGAGGCCTTATTTTTTCTGCTTTCTAGAAAATATAATTTGAAGAATAAATGTTGCTTGCTTTTTTATTCTGTTCCTGTGTGCAGTAAGTATTCTCACTGCAAGCAGAAAGTAAACAGCAATAATTATTAGACTGCTCATATCTTCTAACAATTCCTTTAGGCACTCTTTGCCTTGATTTATCGTATGTTTGCAGTAGGCAGCATCCTGATCAAATAATTAATGTATATATTTCACAAGAGGCCTGAGGAAGTATTGTCACATTATGTTTTGGTGGTGTATGTGCAGTGAACTATGTTAATTAGCATGAACACATTCTCTGGTTTTACTGCAATCAGTGCTAGCCACTCGGAACAAAATATAAAACTCACAGTGACTATTCAGTGACACTAGAAAATAGAACTGAGCTCAGAGTGCCTAACATGAAAAAAAAGGGCTCCTCTTTTGTGCGGTGCTGGATGTCTCGGTATTATGAGTGGTACCCAGTTAACTGACACCATTTCCATCTATAGGATTCAGCACTAATAGTTACCAGGTAGAATTTCCAGCTTTAACTTTGGGAAAGAGGGACTCAACTGTGACTGATTTTAAAATGTTGGATTCATGGTGCTACAGTTGACATCATCTCTGTAGGCCTGTTATGAGTTTGTGGTATACTTCTTTTGAAGGGAAGCCTGGCTTTCTAGCACTTAAGAGCACAAAGGTGCTTATTTTCCTCTTCCTTGCACATATTAAAATATTCTACAACTTGGTCAAGTGGAATATTGTAGACAGTTTATAGAATTAAGCACTCATGGTATGTATAAAGAATACAGGTAGTTCTCGTTTAGCGATTGTCTCATTTAGTGACTGCTTGCAGTTATGACAGTGATGAAAAAGTAACTTTGTGACCAATCCTCACATTTACAACCTCCGCAGGTCTGTAAAGCAAAGGAAATCTGAAGTAAGATCACAAGCACAGTTGCAGTTTCACTTAGCAACCACTTCGCTTAAGAACCAAGTTGCCAGTCCCAACTGTGGTAGCTAAACGCGGACTACCTGTAATGCAGTTTGTACCTGCTATTTATACGACAGGACCCATGATCTCACATTAGGTTGCCTTCAATACTTGTGCAATTACCCTCACTGCTGTATGCCACTAAACATTTTCAGTCACTTTGGACATTGTTGGCAGGAAAATGTATACGTCCTGTTTCCCTCCTTAAAAGGAGCAAAGACACCTCAGATGTCTTGGATGGTGATTCAAAAGCTGAGAAGTTATTACAAAGGTAATGAATGAAATGGTGAAAGATACTCACCATCTCCAAAACTGATCAGAATATTTTGAATGGAAGTTCTTTCAAGGGAACATTCCAGCGGACAGAAAATGTTGGATCCAAGGAAAAGAAAATTGGGCTTGGTCTGTTTTTTTTTTCTTGACTGTGTAATTTAATTTCAATTAGTATTTAATCATTCTATTTTTAGTTTTTTTCACTGAAACTAAAAGTTTTGCAGGTACCATGTTAATGTTGTAACTTCATTTACTGTACTAAATACACAACTGGATGAATTTTATTTTATGAACCACACTTCCTAACATAATATAGTCTCAGGTGTTCAATTGTATAGGAATATTATTTCATAAATGGTCTAATTATAATATCAGATGTTCCCTATTAGATAGGCACATTGCCTGCCAAGTAATCATTCACAGAACTGTAATAAGTAACTTGGAAGCTAAAACTGGGCTCTGTGAAGTAAGTGACCTGGCCTTTCACTCTTCACTTTTCAATTTTGGCAGAAGGCTGGGTCATCCAAATCAGTGATAACCATGGTGAGGTGCTCTGCAATGGATCAACATTTTCGAAGTATAAATAATAAAACCAAAATGATACATTGCTCTTTGGAGCAAAACTTCTGCTTACATATTGAGTGGTAGCTGGACCTTTGGTGGTGTTCCTTGATCTCCAACAATTGCACTTGTTCTGTGTCCAGCCATGGTTGCAGATCCAGCTGAAGTAGAATCCTAGAAGCAATAGAAGTGGAGAAAAATGAAAGGAATGCATCATTTTAGGAAATATTTAATATCATTAGAAGTTAGTGCTGTACCTCTTCCCTCTTTAGTACAAATGTCAGCACTGACATAAACAAGGTTGTGAGCTCTACTGTAGTCAGCAGCCATTTACATATTGTTTGATAAGCACAGGACACAAAGATAGCATTCTTCCACAATATTCTAATCACTCTAAGATTACATTTGATTTTCCCTTGCCTTTGCTCCTAGCAGTGTCCAGAAAACCCCTTAGACACCTGTCACTGACTGTAACAAGGTTGTCCTCCCCAACTTGTTTTGCTATTGCAAAATAACAAAATAGCTATTGGAAGCTGTTTTTTCAGGGGCTTTTTGGATGCGTTCAATTGGATGTAATATGCAGCAGCTAGTAAGTCTTCTAAAGATTTCACATTCATTCTTGTGATTGAATTGTATGACCTCCAATAAATGCGTATTTTATTTATTAGCATCCTTTTTTTCTTTAGGATAGGTTCTTTAGTTTTATACATTCTAACAACATAATTTTTGCAGAAGGATCACTTGATTGTTCTCAGCAATGGTCAAAGCTCCACTGTAATATAACTAGAAATCTGAGCAAACTGCATTCAGAAAATCAGTATTTTGTTTCAGCCTAAGACAAGGTTAGTCTCTCCATCACTGGGACTATGCTTAATTTGATAAGAGCTGTGTATAATACTTGATATATTTGTTAAAAAAATAAGATGGTTATCAATTGCTCCAATATGGTTATTTTGTATATTACTTTTTATAATCAGCCAGAAATGTTAATCTCTTTAGTGATTGGAGCGGAACCACAGAGCAATAAAATAATACCTATTGTCATTGTAACTCAGTTTGTACTGATTTTTTTTATTCTGAGCTCATACTTCATTGTCAAAAGGGAAACCAGATCCACCACTGATGAAACATACTGTTTTAAAAAATAAAAATACTTATGCCTTCTCTAATTTCTAACAGTAAAAACTAGTTTGGAAGGGAGTATACTGGAGATGAGGCTAAATTTTGCCCTTTTTGAAAGAGCCTATTCAAGAAAAGAAATGTTAAAAGCTCTTCTGGCTATTCCTTGACAAATTTAGAAGAAATTACAGCTCTTTTTAATAAACTCTTTGTTCCATCATTCTCTCTCAGTTGACGGAATCTGGACCAATGGTTTTAAAAGTTTCCAAGGTTTGGCAACATATGATATGATATAACATATCACTTATTCAGCTATAAAGAGTCCTGATATGAAATATATTTATAAATCCTTCCTCTTCTTTATGTCACCTTGTGGGATTTTACAAATCCCTGAGCTAAGACACATTTCAGAAGCTGTGAAGTGTGACAAAGTTTTAATGCTTCTTTCCAACTCACTGTCTCTTAATCTTAAAACTTCTATCAGTCATTTACTTAGCTGATTGTAGCACCAGGGACTGGTACAAAGGCAACAGTGTAGAAGGACCAGTTTTTAATGCTGAATGTTGGACATCTGGTTTTCTAATGAATTGTCCTTCTGAACAGTACAGGTAGTCCTCGACTTACGATTGGTCCTTGCACTTATGACTGTTGCAGTGTCCCCGCAGTCATGTGATCAAAATTTGGGTGCTTGGCAACAGGCATGTATTTATGACAGCTGCAGTATCCCAGGGTCATGTGATTGCCATTTGTGACCTTCCCAGGGGGCTCCCAATAAGCAAAGTCAATGGGGGAAGCTGGATTTGCTTAGTGACCATTTGATTCACTTAACAACAATGGCAAAAAAGGTCGTAAAATTGGGCACGACTCACTTAATGACTGTATCACTTAGTGATGAAAGGTCTGGTCCCAATTGTGGTCATAAGTCAAGGACTACCTGTGCACACATACAGGAGAGTAAGACTCTGCAGAGGAGGGTTGGGAAGAAGAAATATATTGGACCTAAAACATCTGGACTTTCTCCCTTCCTCCAAGAGCTCAGAACACAGCAAAAATGCAAACAAATAACACTTTTTTTGAGTCATACAAATACCAGTTTGGCTCTCTCAGTAGCTCAGATCAGACCAAAAAAACCTGGCCAAAATCAGTCCCCATATGCTACTGATACAAATAATCCCTTAATATGGTTCTCTTTAGCTGTACTCCTAAAATTCCCAAGCCAGGCCCAGTCTTGACACATTCGGAGTGGACCAGGTTGGTGAAGACTGAAGAAATATAGTATGTGACATGGATTTTCCGTGTGTAGATCTGTATCCATCAATAACATATGCTTTTCCAAAAAAAGTGCAGGGAATTGAACAAAACAGACTTTGTAAATCATGGGTCTCCAGGTGAAGTTCCTATGTCATGAATTTTAAGCCTAGTAGATTTTTTTGGACATTTATTTATTTTACAACATTTGTATCCCACTAACTTTACAAAGTCTGGGCAGCTCACAATAATTACAATTTAAAACCATAAAAATATCATAACTGAAACAATGCACCATAAGGGAGCTATAGGATAATCCCACACCATAATTACTCAGTTCCAAAAGCTCTTTTAAAGAACCAGTCTTAGCAGATGTCCTAAAATTAACAAAATAGAGGATATCCAATATTGAAAAAGCTTGTCACTTTAACTTCCTAGAAAGAGGGGACCATTGACATTCTTTTCTAGGATGACGTAACACGACAGTTCCTAAAATAATTATGACTCAAGTCATAAAGGACTTTATGAGTCATCACCAACAGCCTGAATTGTACTTGGAAATGTATTGGTAACCAATGCAGCACCCATTCAAGGATTGTCCGCTCAGAATGAGTAGGGAGGCCATCAGCAAACACAATTGCTTCTGCACACACAGCAACTCCATTTTGCCAGAATTTAGCCTGGTTTCATCCCACCCAATTCTTTACTGCCTTTGGACATTGGGGCAGCCTCAATGGACATCCACAGCCTTACCAGGGTAGAGAGAGATAATCTGTAGATTGATAATACCCCATCCAAGCCAGCAGATGATATCCCAATAGAAGATATCCCCTGGTGGCTTAATATAGATGATAAATACCATTCTTTTGCTCATGAAACATTATATTACATAGGACAGAATGAAAGCTATCTGGGTATGCAGGCCCATTGGCTTGATTTCCAGAGGGAAGTGTTACATGATATATTTGCAATTAATTTACATTTACTTCCTACCTAATCTCAAGACTCAGGGCAAGACACGCTGTATCTGTATGATAGCTATTGTGGTTAGGTTTTATGATGATAAAATAGTGGAATGTGTGATTGAAGATAATTCTGGTCAAATATATTATCACTTGTGCAAACCTTGCCTATTTAATTATGTCTGTTTTCAAATATCATATTGGAAGAGTTAGAACTTAATACCTTGTAAAATGATGTTTTGCATAAATCAGGTTGTTTGTGGTTTGGCTTTGCTAAGTATAATATGCACACTTATATTTTGTTTTTTTCAGGAAACAGTAAGAATGCTTGCAAGAGGGCATTTTGATTTAGAGGGCCAATAATCTGCAGAAAATTACATTTCATTGATCTATGATCATAGTGATCTTTTAACAGATTCTTTGCTTCCCAACATAGTGACATATTTGTTTAGGAAAGCATGAATTTAAAGAAAACAAATCATGAAATCTAGAAAAGTAAAATTAAAAAAAACTCTTCTATTTTGTTAATGAGTCAAACATCTGACTTAGTTTTTAACTAACTATATGAGAGGGAAATGATCATTTATATATGCATCTGTCTCCAAGAAAAGGAAACAGATGAAAATCAAACACAAAACCAAATGGAAAACAGCTACTTGAGACTGCGGTGCTGTAAATGTGTTTGGGATTATGATTATCAAATGCAAGGACCCAGAAGGAACTGGGGTAGAGGAAAAAGGCAAAAGGAAGGATATCTGTTGGTTTTTACCACTTTCTTGCTACTGCTAGTTGCTACATACATGCTAATTAGTCTTTCCTTTTTTTCCCCCTACCTTTCCTTTTCCAATGTCATCTGTTGCTTATGCTTAATTCCAGTTGCCCAAATACTTCTCTCTTCCATAGCTTTCTTCATGGCCAGATTTTTATTAATACAGGACACTTCTTTTCCTCAATTTTACTACAGGGTATGAGGAACAAGGGAAACATCTTAGAGCCCTTGCAAACATTGTCATTGCTCAACACTCAACCAATAATGGTGACAGTTTCCTATTGAGATGATACCGCGGATAGGTTAGGAAGATAGATAGAGGACAAGGCATTTATCTGTACAGAGAATAATTTATTGGCAAAGCTACACCTTATCACAGTTACTGTAGCCAATGGGAGGCAGGTAAGTTGACAAGACCTCTTTAAGTTCTTGAAAGCAAAGGCAAAGTTTGGTGGAATGGAATTGTTTGGCACATACAACACAATAAGCACTTTGTGGAGTCCTTGGGGTTCTCTGAGCTTGGTTTTTTTCTTGCAAACATTTTGTTACCTGGCTAGGTAACATCTTCAGTGCTAGGCTAGCCCTGAAGATGTTACCTAGCCAGGTAACGAAAAGTTTGCCAGAAAACAAACAAGCTCAGAAAACCCCAAGGACTCCACAGTTCAACCCTGAGCTACACATATTCTCTTCTATTAATAAGCACTTCTTTGAATCGTTTTTCCACTTCTAGCAATAGCCCATTAAAGACAAAGGTCAACATACAGCTAAAAAAACAATGGGACAACCAGTTTGATGTAGTGGTTAAGGCACCAGGCTAGAATCCAGGAGACTATGAGTTCTAGTCCTGTCTTAGGTATGAAGCCAGATGAATGACCCTGGGCCAGTCCCTCTCTCTTAGCCCTAGAAAGGAAGCAAGGGCAAACCACTTCTGAAAATCCTGCCAAGAAAACTTCAGGGACTAGTTCAGGCAGTCGCCAGGAGTCAACACTGACTCGAAGGCATTAAAAAACAAAAACAAAAGTGTGGTTTTGGCAACACCCCAAGTATGTGATATGTCTGTTTTGATATCTGCTGTT